CATCTAGATATTCTATTGTAGTATAATGAGACTTTTTACTGATGTAATTTAACCTAATAGGTTACAAATCGGTATTTTATTAAATTATTAATTATTAAAAAAAAAAATCGCTCGCAAGCGAGCTCCTTCTCACCGCGTTTTCATAGCATAAGTGTACGGTAGAAACATGTGGGGGGTGACCCCTCCAGTGGTACACAAGGCATGAAGGAATTACTACTGTTTGCCAAGGACCACAACCTGACCGACATATGGACAACAGATCATCCTACCGACCAAATCTTCACCTGGCACAACAGAGAGTTTACGCTAAGATCGCGACTGGACCGTTTTTATGTCTCAAGGGACACAACCACACAGTCCACATCGCACATCCGCGTCCGCCATCTCTCAGACCACACTATAGTGGAGATCTCCCTTGTCCCTACTGGCAATATAGGCAGAGGCAGGCAAACATGGAAAATGAACTGCAATGTTATTAAGGACAAACTCTTCCAACGAGAAATAAACGCTTACCTTGAGTACTGGAGAACCCAACAACCAACCGTAGATCTGCTCGAATGGTGGGAGAAAGCCAAAGAGAACATCAAACGCATTGCGTTCAGGCACGGTGTGCAGAAAAACCGTGCCAGACAGCAACAAGAACAGGCGCTTAGGTCTAAACTCACACATCTGCAAACAGCAGTACACCCAGATATCGACGCGGTTCACAAGACCGAACAAGACTTACAGGAAGTAACACGACAATGCCTCAAAGGGGCAACAATACGAAGTCGGGCCCAATGGCACGAGGAAGGGGAGAAAGCATCACAGTTTTTCTTCAATCTTGAGAGAAAAAAACAATCGATGGCAATTATAACTAAATTGCAAACGGAGAGAATTTGTCTCGAACAAACATAAACTTACCTGACGCGAGAGGCACCTTGATCAACTAGGAGGTCCTCTCAGGATGAGGTCCTTTCAGGATGAGGCCCTTTCATTGCACTTCGACTGGGTTGACTCCTGCGATTACCCCTAATGTGGGTAACTCGAGCGTATAATTTCTGGTAGTGGGGACCTGTAAGCGCTTCGAGTCTTTGCACACTATTACATTAATTCGCGGTATAAAGTAACTTGCTTGCCAACAGAATTTTAGTCCATCGCACATACATTCCAAGCGCCGATTAACTGGCTTGTGTGTCACTCAAACGGACATGTTTTGCCGGTCAAACTTATAGAATACCATGGAAATATTCGCACATCACATTATTTCACAGTGCGTGAAATAAAACCAAAACCTTTCCGGGTCACAATGCAATTTGCAAGTGGAAGAAGCTCAATGCATTCATGAATCTTTAAAGAGGGTGAAAGCCGATACGTTCGCAACTCTTGTCTCGCGGTCGATGCCACATGGCCGCCGTGCCCCTCTACACGACGGCAAGCATGTGCGCGAGAGAACCGCAAGAGTCGCGGTGGGCGATCACCACGGACTTGCCGTGCTTGCGCGACGAGTAATCAAGCGCTTGTCGACGTCATAGTCGCTCGCAAGCGAGCTCCTTCTCACTGCGTTTTCGTAGCACAAGTGTTCGGTAGAAATATGTGTGGCAAACGGCGAAGAAGGCATCGCTTCTCGTCCTTTTGGCTAAGATCAAGTGTATAATTTTTTATCAAATTTCTAATTATCAACCCTCTTTCTGGTATAAAAATAAAGATAAAGATAATCAACTACTGTTATTGTTGCGGCAGAAAGTTATTTGATTTATGTGGTTATATTCGCCATAAGTTGGAGTGGCTACGCCGTAAATTGTGATATTTAATTTTTGGTCCATAACTTTTCATCTGCTGGTCGGATCTACTTCAAATTTTCTGTGTGGATAGTGATATTTGTTCGTGTATTACTGTGCTAGTTTGGTGTTGTCAACGTGTATAGTTCTTATATTATTTGGATTTATTAATTGCGTCAGTTTGTCATATTTGGAATATTTATTATCCCGTCGGGAATTCCATGTTTATTGTCAAGTTTGTTCGCATTTATCTTGTTTGTGGAACCTTATTTGTGGAATCTGTTGTTTGAATCGTACATGTTTATTTTACTGGAACATTTTGATATATAAATTGTACTGCTTTGTGGAGTATTTCATGAACTAGCATCACTTTTGTGTTGAATACGTAAAGTGTTTACTTTGTATTATTCATTCCCGGTCGGATTTATATTTTCCGGTTAACTTCTGTTTTATTCAAGTCCTGTGGCTAAAATTTGGCACAATTATAGATAATCTGGTTGTTAACATCTCCAACGAGTTTACCGTGTATAGAATTTGAATTACAGCGATTTTTCTGTTTTCCAACGGTCATTTGGATTTAAATTTCCCGGCTAAATATATTCAGTTTCGAAGCCAAGTTTCATTTTGGGGAAGCCAAGTTTCATTTTGGGGAATCCCCGTTTTGCTGTACTGTTATCGTCTGTTCTGTCCATCGTCTGTACGGTGCAGCGTTATTGTATCACTGCGTTCGTATTAGTTCTATATAGTGTCTGGTAATATGGTATTTTAGTAACTTTGTTTGTGTTTCTCGTGTTCATTATGTCCAGACAGGATACCCAATCGCTGTTTGTACAATGCACGGATTGCAGTTATATTGCTCCTACATAAGGACACTTGGGCATTCATAGATCTAAAATGCATCGTGCTGAAGTCCCTGACCACGTTAAATCTGTAAATATTGTTAGGCTTTTCCCTGAAGGAAAGTCGTTTTATTGTTGTCTGTGTAATAGTATTATCGGTTCTTTTCCGAACTTTAAACGTCATTATTTCAATAAACAGAAAGGAATTTCGCTTAACATTTCCGCCAAATGTACCATTTGTGACAGTATTTTCCCAGAAAATCGTGGCGCTGGTGTCTATCTTCAGCGAGCCCACCAAATTGGTACAAATTATTCCTATCCTCTCTCTCCTATGCCCGTAATGTCTTACGTTGATCTTGAAGTATCAGAGAATAACAACACCATTACTCCTTGAAGACGTAGTCGCAGATCGAGAGTTAAGCTATTGGCTGAAGCATCCTTATCCATGTCTCGTAACGTGTCTAGTCCAATGTCTTGTCCTTCGTCTTCGATAATTAATGATACTAATCAAGATGTTTGTTTTTGTGACCCCCCTTCCACCCAATCTCCCAATGTCATATCCCAAATCCACTAATCCCTCTTCCCCCTGTAGTGACGCGTTACTTGTGCTTCATCCCGTGTTCACTCCAGCAAATTACCTCCTCCGGTCCTTACTAATCTTGATCCTGATGATGACATCATCATACCCTACCCTCCAAGACCTAACCCCAACTGCACTCCCAATCAATACCATCAACCACCATTCCTTGAACCAGTGGCCGCCTTTACTGGTTGTATTGCTGGGAATAGTGGTACCCCATCGGTTTCCCCCACACCAACCTACCTCTAACTCCCCGGAGTTATCCCTCCCAACCCCCATCCACCAATCATCTTCTGAACCAACGGTCGCCTTAAGTGGTTGCATTGCTGGGGACGGTGATGTTGTACCAAACCAATCTTCCATTTCCCCTACATCCGCTCCTGATAACCCTCCTTCTCCATCAACAGCATCCCAAAACCCCTTCATTATCCCTCCTCCACTCCCAGATTCCTTCCTTTCCTCATCAACTACTTACCAATCCCAACCGAATAACGATAATAACCCAATCCACCAATCATCTTCTGAACAAACGGTCGCCTTAAGTGGTTGCACTGCTGGGGACGGTGATGTTGCACTAAACCAATCTTCCAATCCCCCTACATTTGCTACTGATAACCCTCCTTCTCCATCAACAGCATCCCAAAATCCCTTCATTATTCCCCCTCCACTCTCAGATTCCTTCCTTTCCTCATCAACCACTTACCAATCCCAACCGATTAATGATAATAATCAAGTACCTAATCCCAACCCTCCTCCTAATAATGATAATGATCCGTTTCAAGATAGATGGTCATCAGTTTTCTCGGATACCATTTCCTGGGATGTTTTTTCCAATCAATGTAAAAAATTTCTCCGAAGATGTTATCAAGACCAGCCAAGAGAAACAACCCAAAAAACCATCAGCTGGCCCCCAGCGTCCACTTCGTCCTTCAGCACGCCCCGTTAATAACAACAGAGCTCTGCTCCGGTATAACCCTCGGGAAGCTAGAAAGATACAAGCACTATACCGTTTATCAAAGAAGCGTGCGGCTAGGCAGGTCCTAAATAGTAATTCACCATCTTATACAGGATCAACTGATGATGCTAACACCTTCTTCACCAATGTGTTTGGAGAAAAACATTGTAATGCCGACGAAGTTAAACATGGTTTGAATGATTTTGTACCTTCTTCTCCCGTTGACGAGAACCTGTATGCCCCTGTCTCCCCCAAGGAAGCCGCTAAGAAACTCAGATCCCTTTCCAACTCTGCCCCGGGGTCCGACAAAGTAGAATATTGGCATCTTCGCTCAGTTGACCCAAAATGTACCATCCTATCAAAAATATTCAATCGGTGTATAGTTGAGAGAGATGTACCTGAAATGTGGAAAACATCATCAACCATCTTAATCCACAAGAAAGGCGATGCAAGTGACGTTTGCAACTTCAGACCAATTGCGTTGATGAGCTGCATTTACAAGTTGTGCATGAGCATAATTGCTAATCGTCTGGTCACCTTTTCTGTCAGTAATAATCTTCTCGCTGATGTGCAAAAGAGTGCTCGCCCTTCCGAAGGTTGCTACGAACATACCTACATCCTCCAGTCCTTTGTTCTCGATCGAAAACGACATGGTAAAGACCTACACCTGTCATGGCCTGAAAAATGCTTTTCGAAGCATTTTGCATGATGTTATCCAAACTACCTTGGAACATCTCGGAGTCCCAGACGGTATTGTCGAGCTTGTGAATAATGTTTACAGCAATGCAACCACGGTAGTTACAACACCTTCTGTTACAACTCCTCCTATCCCCTTATTAGCTGGTGTGAAACAAGGATGCCCACTTTCTCCAATCCTATTTAATCTATGTGTTGAGATATTCTTTGTTCCATCGATGCTAAAGGCCAATCAATCGCTCCACTCAAACACCATGGATGTCACATCTCTGTTCTAGCATACGCCGACGATTTGGTCATTATTGCCAAAAATGAACGTAAACTCCAGCAACTCCTTGATGCAGCGTCTACATCGGCATCCTTGATTGGCCTAACATTCAGATGAGATAAATGCGCATCAATCAGCCCGACATATGCGAAGAAACATCAGAACAACATCGAGCAGAATGATTTCATGGTCCAAGGAAGAGTCATACCTTCGCTAAGTGAACATGAACATATTATCAGTATTTAGGAGTTCCTATTGGTATGGTACGAAATGTTGAAAATCTCGATAAATTAGTCGATCAGCTATGTAATGATCTTGACAGTATCAACTCCTCTCTTTTGGCCCCTTGGCAAAAACTTGATGCAATCCGGACGTTTATCCAACCATGTTTAACATTTGCTCTTCATGCTGGTGAACCACTCAAATCATCCCACTTCAACTATCGAAAGAAACTGGTTGAAGTAGTCAGATCCATCATGCATCTTCCAACTCGTGCATCGTCCTGTATTATATTTGCATCCCGCAAAGTGGGTGGTCTAGCTTTCCAAGAACCCTTGGTTGAGGTGGATATTCAAACTGTGGTACAGGCGATCAAAATGGTGTCCTCATCTGATCCGTTCGTGTCATCTATAGCCAAAGCAGAGTTATGGTCATCAGTACGATTTGCTGCTCGTGATAATCCCTCTCCCTCCCTAACTCGTGACTTCCTGTCAGGTTCAATGAGAGGTAACTTCCATCCAAATCGCATAAGATACCGAACACATTCACTGTGGACTCGTACCAGATCAGCTTGCCAACGCCTAAATATTTCATTTGCGGTCCCGGATAATGATGAACCAGTGATATCGACCAAAACCAGTGGCCCCCGTCGTGCTAAAGTTGGGTGTTCTTTCCTTCACCATCTTGCTCAAGAATGTGCTTCCCAAAAATTACTCGATCTACCAGACCAGGAAAAACAGCCCGAGCTATGACGAAAGATGCCTTCGCAAATGGGTCATCATGGATGTTCACAGGTTTGAACATGCGTTTCAAAGACTGGCGATTTGTCCACCGTGCCAGAATGAATGTCGTCCCCACTAATAAGAATATATCCAAATGGGTTGGGATACGGTTGTGGCATATCTGGGCGACGATACTGTCATAAAATCACACGTATAAACTCGAGCAGTAAAAGAGGCTTTCCTTGGATTCTACATCAAAAGGTATAGAAAAGATAACAAAAATCAGTATCCTTTTTATAAATCTATATTATACAATTAAACCAATTATATTGTTTTTATAACAATAAACTATCAGGCTTTTGAATATCAATATAACATTACATATATTATTAGTAACACCTAGCTAGTACTGTAAGAGCCAGTGTTTTAAACTGCTAAATGTTTTAATTTGCTTGCAGCATGAGTACAACTTTGTTTGTTAAACTTTGTCCTGCCAGTTATATGAAGAGAAACAAATTCTCAAATATTTCATATCTAGAATGGTTGGCGTAATTCTATCAAAACTTTTAAAAAAATTACGGTCAGAAATAAATTTTCCATTGAATCTGTTTAGAACCATTGATTCAATCCTTTTAGAACCATTGGTTCCAATTTCTGCAACAATAATTGTAGATATATAAACATATAAAACGTTTTTCCTTCACTGATAAATTAACAGAGTGTTTTTTATGGCAATCCGGACGTTTATCCAACCATGTTTAACATTTGCTCTTCGTGCTGGTGAACCACTCAAATCATCCCACTTCAACTATCGAAAGAAACTGGTTGAAGTAGTCAGATCCATCATGCATCTTCCAACTCGTGCATCGTCCTGTATTATATTTGCATCCCGCAAAGTGGGTGGTCTAGCTTTCCAAGAACCCTCGGTTGAGGTGGATATTCAAACTGTGGTACAGGCGATCAAAATGGTGTCCTCATCTGATCCGTTTGTGTCATCTATAGCCAAAGCAGAGTTATGGTCATCAGTACGATTTGCTGCTCGTGATAATCCCTCTCCCTCCCTAACTCGTGACTTCCTGTCAGGTTCAATGAGAGGTGACTTCCGTCCAAATCGCATAAGATACCGAACACATTCACTGTGGATTCGTACCAGATCAGCTTGCCGACACGTAAATATTTCATTTGCGGTCCCGGATAATGATGAACCAGTGATATCGACCAAAACCAGTGGCCCCCATCGTGCTAAAGTTGCGTGTTCTTTCCTTCACCATCTTGCTCAAGAATGTGCTTCCCAAAAATTACTCGATCTACCAGACCAGGAAAAACAGCCCGAGCTATGACGAAAGATGCCTTCGCAAATGGGTCATCATGGATGTTCACAGGTTTGAACATGCATTTCAAAGACTGGCGATTTGTCCACCGTGCCAGAATGAATGTCGTCCCCACTAATAAGAATATATCCAAATGGGTTGGGATACGGTTGTGGCATATCTGGGCGACGATACTGTCATAAAATCACACGTATAAACTCGAGCAGGCTTTCCTTGGATTCTACATCAAAAGGTATAGAAAAGATAACAAAAATCAGTATCCTTTTTATAAATCTATATTATACAATTAAACCAATTATATTGTTTTTATAACAATAAACTATCAGGCTTTTGAATATCAATATAACATTACATATATTATTAGTAACACCTAGCTAGTACTGTAAGAGCCAGTGTTTTAAACTGCTAAATGTTTTAATTTGCTTGCAGCATGAGTACAACTTTGTTTGTTAAACTTTGTCCTGCCAGTTATATGAAGAGAAACAAATTCTCAAATATTTCATATCTAGAATGGTTGGCATAATTCTATCAAAACTTTAAAAAAAATTACGGTCAGAAATAAATTTTCCATTGAATCTGTTTAGAACCATTGATTCAATCCTTTTAGAACCATTGGTTCCAATTTCTGTAACAATAATTGTAGATATATAAACATATAAAACGTTTTTCCTTCACTGATAAATTAACCTACGGGAAAAGTGTATTGCTCATCAATTTTCTGACATTAAACATGATGAGATTGAATCAAATGGTATGAGTATATTCTTTATATATCTGATAAATCTATTGTATATACAGTTGCCCTTTACCAGGAGGGGCAAGGGGGGCAAAGAATTAAAGAATTGCCTTGGCGAAAAAGCGAATTGTCAAAAATTTTAGTGCGATTCTTTTACGAATTTGCTTCAGAAAACGCAAGAAATGCAGTCATTGGGCTTTAAGAATAGCACAATCGCCTGGCGGAGAACCCCCTCACACCCCTATCATCCAATAAATAGAGAACTTGATTAGGCGAAGTTCAACTCCCGATGTTTTGCAAACATCTCTCAGTATATATCAATTCAAAAGTGCCCTTTAACAAAAATCTGCCCCCCTTGCCTTCACATTGTTCCAGCGTCCCTGTGTATATAATTATAATAAATTCTCCCAAGCCCCCCCCCCCAGCCACGAATAGGCCTCTGACTACATACAGCATGCGTTATTAACCCTTTAAGTGGCAATGCACTCTGATGCACCCTAATTCAGAATTTTACTCTGTCTAATGCCAGACGCTTAAGCATACCGAAGCATTCTTTCTCACGTCATTGATTTTTGTAATGGGTCATTCCAGAAAACATCCATACCACCCCCACAGTGGAAATAGGAAGCTAACCCTCCTACCCTCTTCATATGATCCGTTTCCCTGATCAACTCAAGGCAGCACATTTTATTTTAGGGAGGTTTTTTTAATATGTTCCAGGTAGGAAAACAGTAGAAAAGTTTGGTGATCCCAAAAAAGCGTCAATTTCCACTAACAATGTTGATTCTTATGCAAGTGGGAAAAGGAAAGTTCTGGCCACTTTCAACCGAAAATTATTCAACATGTATGGAATAATGAATGAATTAGATGTTAATGAGTCTGATGATGAAAATATTGGAAGTGAATCAGATTAAAAGACAAAACCTTTGCTGTACACACATCCCACTCGTATTTCAATGTAGCAATAATTTTTTACAGTTGTGAAGGGTTGTTGTGTGTTAAATCATGGATAATAAAATAAATTTATTTTATTATCCGTGGTTAAATAGAGCATGTACATGTAATTTAACTTGAATTAATCTGCTATGACTATGTATGGACTCTCCATAATGATTTTTTTTTACTCTGAGTGGATATCCTCACCGGACAGGCTGAAAAGTTTGCATGGTCATGCGGTGGGACAACTACCTTGTCCAATGTTCTGCCAACTGAGCTACGAGGCCAAGTCTGTTCAAGTGTTTGGTATTTCAGAACTAAGTCTAGTACCTTCAATACCAATGTGTTTTCAGAGCAGATCAAGAAACATTAAATTATTTTCACCTGAGTACATATGTAGCATCAAAACACACACACAAAAAAATATCAAGTCCATAATTATGTTTACATAAAACATCTATGAAATAATTCTGAAATAATGGATATAATTTGACTCGAGTGATAACAGTGTTACTGTTTTATCTCAAATATTGAATAGTATAAATCCTCACTGACACTGTATGTACTTTCGAACCGTTGAAAGAACAAATAATTGAAATATCCAACAGCAAAAGCAGACATCATGCATTTGTTAATAGAATGGATATTTTTGTCACTCAATTGAATTTATTAATTTGGTGATACTAAAAATAGATAGATAGATAGATAGATAGATAGATAGATAGATAGATAGATAGATAGATAGATAGATAGATAGATAGACATATAAAGATTAATTTCATTTACCCCTGTCATCTGAAGCTGATGTCCACAGTGGCTGTGCAAAAATAGCAATACAATATTTTAAATTATTTTTAAAATATGTTATATGGTACATTGTTTCAGCAGTGTACACTCTACAGTGTCCAAATAGCAACATAACAATGTTGAAAATATTTACAAAATATGTGATATATACAGTAGTGTAGGCTTTAATATTCCTTAGATAAAGTACAATATCCAAAGAAATAAAATTGAAATAGACCAGTTGAACTGCATGTTTGAAATTCACCATAATAAAAATGATGGCAGGTGTCAATTTTACCATAATGCTTTGTGACCCTGAATTGGTTATATGAACTGTAAGAACAGTTTATTTTATTAATGCACCAGTCAAAGTAGACCCCCACCCCGGGCAAAGAGGGGACTTGGTGGGGATTTAGTGGCTTTTTGTCATCGAATTCTGTCCCAACCATGTTGGGAATTTGTTGGTTTTGTCATTCTGCCGAATTATGCCGGGAAGATAATGGGGATTGTTAGGAGATTGTCTGCGGCCATTTTGTACTATTTTGTACCGTTTTGTCCAATGGAATCCCCAGGTTCTACCATTTTATACCATGTGATTTGCAAAGGACAAAATGGCGTGCTCGTAAGGAAATGAAATCGGGAAGAATTTTATAAATATATTATTAATTTAATTTCTTTTCAATCTATATGTTAATACTGGTTTAATAATATGTCCATCCATCCATGGAATCTATTGTTGTGGA